GACAGTGACGATCATTGTGCGCGCAAGGAAGACTACAGTGCATCGGTTCGTCGTGTGATCGTCATTAACGACGAAAAGGACGAGAAGAAGCTTTCAGAGGACCGGAAGGGGGACCCAGACCTAAGGCACATTATGCAGTGGAAGATGGGCAATAAAGGAAGATCATCGTGGCAGGATGTGGCTCCCTTGTCAAAGAACGGGAAGATGATGGACGAGAAAGTCCGTCACAACATATCTGGAACAAGTGACAGGATGAGGGAGAGGTACAAAGGGAAGGCCGAGAAAGGAGGGTTCACACCTGGAGACCTCGTGTGGCTACACAATCCCCGAAGGCGTCGTGGATATTCGCCAAATCTCCAGAACTCGTGGGAAGGACCTTATGAAGTTATTTCCCGTCTAAATGACGTCATCTACCGGATTAAGAGGCAACCAGACGGCAAACCCATATTAATCCATTTCAACAGGCTTGCACCCTACAACGGAGATCACGGCAAACAAGAGGAACAACAAGTTCGAAACCTCTCAACCGAGCCAAGAAACGTCGTGCCTGAGAGACATGGAAATGAGGGACTGAGGTTGTTATACAAGGACCTCTTCACCTTGCCAGTGGAATATGCCTTGGCACACTGCGTAGCAGAAGACCTGAGAGCGTCGCGAGGTATAGCTACAGTCTTCAGGAAAAAGTTTGGAGGGATCGAAGATCTTGAGCGTCAGAGCCCCGCCATTGGCACAACCCTTCACCTGAAGCGCAATGGACAGCATTTGTTCTACCTCGTTACAAAGGAAACATCTAGCAAGAAGCCGTCCTACGAATCTTTGAAGAAAAGCCTGCAAGACCTGCGAGACAAGCTCCTTCGGATTGGAATCAAAAAGCTGGCTATTCCAAGGCTGGGATGTGGTTATGACGGATTGGAATGGAAGATTGTAAGAAATATGGTGCAGGAACTTTTCGAGGACACTGGCATCGACATTGTGGTCTGCGTATACAACCCATGGGGAACCTCCGGTGGACCAGAAGATCGCAAGCTTCAGGGGAAATCTGTTCTGGGACAGAACAGTCTTAAGGAGGGGGTAGTGTTACAAGTCAGGAGCCCCGCGCAACAATAGCCAGGCGCCGTCTCAAAAGGGTTGTTTGTTTACACGGGTTTCTCCTAGCGCACCACTGATAGACAATAGACCCATGTCAACGTACTACCTCAATAGGGGCCCTAGAACCTTCTACACTTCTACGGCGTAAACACCTTTGTCTAGGCTACCAGGGGTCTCCAGAATGTTCCACGGTAAATTTATATAAGGGACCGTCTTCCGGCACAGGGCAGTTGAGTTGAGTTGAGCCTTCCGAGAATCGTCGCAGCAAGTGCCCGTCGGTGTTAGTGACCAGTGCTAGTGGCAGTGACAGTTTAGTGACAGTGAGAGTAACAGTTACGTGTATTGTCTCTAGTGACAGTGTAGTGACAGTGTTGTAACAGAAGTAGTGATAAATCCTGTAGAGGCTAGCTGTAAGTAGAAACATTGTAAATTAGAATAGGCTTTAGCTAGGTTTAGATAGGGTTAGTTAGGTGTTAGGAAATTGTAATTATTGTAAATACAGAATATTAGTGTAAATAAAATAGCTATTTTAAAATCGCCAAGTTTTATTTGTAAAGAACCTGCTAAGCCCGTAACAATATTTAAATATCAATTATATATATATCAGAAAAAGAGTAGCTTTGACAATGGGGTTTAAAATAAATGTACAGTGTTAAAGTATACTTAGGCATGTTTAAAATCTCATGAACGTAGATTCGTCAACATTATCGGTTTTCTATTTAAATTTTCGTTGTCTGGCTTTTCTTATAGAAAGAAGGCCTAGCCAAGTTTTTGTAGATGTGAAACTCCCTTTAAAACATTCTTTTACGTAACCAGCTTTAAGCATTAATCTCCTAGTAACGTAATCTTTACCAAAAACTCTCATATTGGCTTGTTTGAGTGTTTATAGCTGTGCACTTTTTTGGTATATTCGGCCAAGCTATTTGCTCCCAGACGATTATCAAATTTAAAAAAATTACCTAACGTATATAAAATTGAAAATCTTTTATGCATCAGCGGCTAAGTATCAAGTACAGCATATTTGATAAAATGTAAATAAACACACTGTTATTAATATACAGTATGCAATAACGGTATGAATATTAACTTAAGTAGCCTACCAAATCAATTCACGAAACCACATTTTCATACCTAAATTAAATAAAAGCATTTTAAAAACTACACATTCTCAACATTATTCAAGGCAAGGCGATTATAAATATGAGCAGCAGTAAGCTACTTTCAAACAGAGACCGATATACATAATCCATCAAGAAGAGGCCTATACGCTTTACATGCCTTTGACAGAACGATCAAAAGATTTGCTGAACAGCAACTCTAAAATTCTACAATAAAGTAAAGGTATTATGACTATAGAAGGATCTTTGAAAATAATTTTACTCGGGATTACAGGTACTGTAATACTGTATCAAAACTATTAGATGTAGGACTACGCTATTTAATTCTCCTAGGAGATAGAAATTTGCTTCTTACCAAAACCAAGTTATTCATACTGACTAAATAAATACTATGAATATTTACTTTTTAGGCGATATGACGTATAAAAATGTGGAAACCCAATATTTCATACACAATGTAAAACTAACTTGCTAATTGTTAACCTTGATACGTAAATAGTTACTAATCTGTTACATCCAAAACTCATATTCTTTATTAAAATAAGAGAGCACTAAATAATAAGTAAAGCCTTCTTTTGAAAACAAAACTTTAATAAAAGTGACAACCATATAGCCTAAGGTCCAAAAGTACGAAATCCCATGTATTGGAAACAATAACATTGAGTGGGAAAAGTAGATGTAACTTGATCTTATTATTGTCTTACACTCTGGGCATGTTTAAAACAACTGATTCATCTTCGCCGTTCCAAAATTTACATCAAGACAAACTTTTATTCCCTGTACATCAAAGATATATCAAAGTCTGCAGAAGCGCCAAAACATATTGGGGTATACGGTCCTGATCACGCACCACAGTATCGCATTAAACATATTATAAGGGGTATGTTTGCCGTGACTTTGCGTCTCTTTACTTTGGACTTAATCTTTCATATTAAAATACTCAAGCGTTCTCCATGAATAATACCACCTACATACATTTGTCTATTAAATTATACATAACCAGCAATATGATCGTGTTACGTTCTCCATAATATCATTTTGCTTAACCGCTTACGTTTCACGTAATCCACATTTCCGTAGTCATAAGGCCACCAATATTTCATTATTGAAAGGTATTCTTCGAATAAACACTATCACTAACCAAATAAAATCAGTTCAAGCAACAAAGAAAAATGATGTTCGCATTAATTAATATATACGGGATTTATGACCCACAGATTAAGTTTAACATTAATATATTTTAAAGATATTCTAGTGCACGATGCTTGAACAATTATATAAATATTAAAATAAAGACACTTTTCAAACATATGTTATAGAAACCAAATTCTGCTTAAACCAGAACAAATTAAGGTAAAAAACATCATTCCTTCTTAGAATGATACTTTGTTATAGATCATAGGTAAACTCTATTTTAAATAATCAATTCCACATAATAACTTAACCAAGCAATATTTTAAACTTCAGCCATAAAAAGGCAAACATCGCCCTAATATCTGCAGCCACTGGTGGCCTTTAGACCGTAAACTAAGAACTAGCGGTTTGATTTTAGATGGTACCAAATCTTAGTTGTTTTCAAAAGCAGAGGGTCTGATAAAATGTACACCTATCTACATATGCGTACTTATTCCACTATACAGTACGGCATGAAACTAAAAATTAAATAGAAAATTGAATCTGCTGTGGAGTGTTTGTGAATAAAAATGAAATATTAAGAGAGAGAAAAAATAGTAAACCATGTTTACAAGAACAACAGAAAGGAATCATGTTTATTTATATAATACAATGGATTATCTTTTAATCATCAGCTGTTTTAGTAATTAAAAAATTCTAAACAGGCTAAAGAAATATTTTAGATAAAAGAACTGAACATCTGCACACATAAGCTTGTTCTTTGAACAGAGCACTTACGCAATAAGTTAAGGTTCAAGGGTTCCTTTAACCATCAGCCTATTCTAAAACAATTTCCAGCACTAGGCTTTACGATTCACTCTGATTAAGACACTGTTACCCCATTTGTCAGATACAAATGTCAGATAAAAGAATAAAACTACCTTCTTGAACCCAAAAACCAGACGAATAACTTATGATTAAAGTCTGGTTGAAAAGATTTAGTCAGTGTCATTACACTTAGCACTTATTGTAATAAGTTTCTCATATCTTACGGCCAGGCTATTTAATTTTTATACCAAATTCACAATAAAATAAGCCTCTAAATCAAAAGCCATAGCTACTGAAAGTACTGTAAATAATGTGCCCATTAGCTACTAATCTTCCTTTTTTGCCAATAGAAGTCTTGTAAAATGGCAGGAGTATCAACTATAAGGCATATATATGCTATGAATGTTTCTGAGGTTTGCTCATTACTGAAAAAGGTAGTGAGTTAAATTATATTTGTATTGACTGGCTTATCATTGAACTGAAATGTATAGCACAAATGTCTTCACACAAAAATAAGAAGCATTTAATATTGTATTACAAATGCCAATATGTATAGTAGCTCATTTGCAATTAAAGTTTCAGCCTCAAACCTTACTGAGTTTTATCAGTAAATTAATTGAGCTAAGTAGCATAGTTCATTTTTCAAGAATATTATCACTTTATGAGTCATGATATCAAGCAAAAAGCAAAAGGGCATTATATTTTATAAAAGAGCGAAAAGTTGCAGAGACTCCTACTTTCCCATCATTCAGGTCTCCGCAACACACAAATTTACTACCAAAAATATCACTCTGTTGCACTAGACACTATGGGAGTGTAGAAATAAAACTTCTTTTGACTATATAAACTTATTTATATTATATTCACATTCCATCGACTATGTAACACTCACTGTACAATGAAGCTTAGAAATTGAAATTTGTACATCAGAGAAATGGCGGTAAACTGTACAATTACTGTACAACAGTAAAAAGAAGATAAACAGAACATTCGTATACAACTTAGGCTAGAGGCCATTTTTCAGCTGGGCTAACAAATCAACTGGTTAATAGTAGTTTGAAATGTATACAGTATAAAATTAATTATAAAAAATAAGCTATAAAATACATTCTCCCATACTGGACAAGGACCTTTCTTGGTTCACACACGTAACGGATACATACTTTAAAATATAAACGTCTACAAAATATACTTCAAAATTGTACAAGTTGTACATAAAATAAATCCCTCCACACAAATAACAAGCATTATAGTAATCCCACAGCAATAAAATCTTTTAAATCAAAATCTCAAAGCACTGCGCTAATAAATCAATTCAACCCAGCTCAATCTGCTAAAATTTGCAATTTGTTGGCTGCGATTTTGAATAAATTAAAAAATTCCACTACATAGAACAAAATATCTGAAGCATGACAACGCCTATTACAACCGTAAATGCTCCCCAGTCGCGACAGTTTACGAATTCACTGACACTCTCCGGGGCAATATTTAGGACCGTAAACTGTCCCTACTTAAAAAGGGAGAGTTGAAAATTCCAGAAACCGTTTCGAAGGACCATAAATAAATATGGCATGGCAAGGGAAGGGCACCCGGGCGGTACGAAAACCGGTTGTGGGAACCAAAACTCAAAACCGGTGGCGAGATTGTTATCGAGCGGCGCAGCGATGTCCGGCCGTCCGGAAACTGAACATGTTGTCGAACATGTCACGATACAGACTAGCAAACAACTAGGAATCACCAATCACATCTTATTACTAAACCAAAATTATATTTACGCCAGCGTAAAAAATAATAGGATGGTAAACGCTAGTCAGATGGATTGATGAACAAAAAAAAAAACATTCCGCAAGGGGTGTACCTACATTCAACAATAAATGTACAATAATTTATAAAACGCCAATTTTCTCTGATGGTGGTACCAGCGGATAAATATCATCATTTAGGTTCATTAACAGTAGCAATATTTACAAAACACGGTTGAATTTATGTCGCTAAGCAACCGTTAACGCATGTAATACTGACATACAACTTTACGACCAAAAGGTACCGCACACTCGAATACTTAAGGGTAGAAACATTCGTATTTCGTCTATGAAGCGAAATATGACAATTAGAGATTAAGGTGGGTGCGAGGCAAAATAATTGTTTAGGCAATTTAATTGTTGGGTTGTTGATGGCAAAATAATAACTATCATGAATGCTGTTAAAATGCAGGCCTCTACTGAATATATTTATCGTGTTTTGACATGCCAAAAATCATAGCAACTTAAAAGCTACACTCCGGTGCAAAGAAAACATTAGGCCTACAACTTGAGGAGAATCCCCGAACGCCCGCATCTAGCTTCAGGACGGTCCCACAACTCGGCAGTTTAGGACAAATAAAACTTTGAGAAAAATCACGATCATGGAAGTTCTACACAAATTACGCTAATCAGGTTATTATATTATTCACAATAACTGGTTGTAATATGTAACACAAGGGAAAGTTGTCAAGTATGAGAGAATTGAGATAACTTAACATAAAATGTGGAACACAATAATCTAAATAAAGCACTAAAGACAACAAACCTACAAACAACCTATTCATTTTTATCAAGTAATTGTATTTTTTTCTGTTTAAGGCACCTCAATAAAAATGTGTTATAATCACTGACTCGTAGAATGAAATGTCCTGCACAACAATCTTGTCATTTGTTTTACTAAAAACAGTCAATGATCTGCAATATTCACAACTCAAGTGAAATGTTGGCCCAGCTAATAAATAAAAAAAATTGTCTCCTTAAAGAACTTTGAAGGCAATTTTTAGGACACAAACTGCAAACAAACGTTATGCTTATCCAACCAAAATAAATAAATTCATCAAAACATTCCGGTTGATAAAAAAATCTTATTACAAAAACGGACATAAACTATCTTTATCACAATCTTAAATTTAGCTTCCAGAGCTAAATCCTTTTATATGTACAGTAAAACACTTAGAATGTTTTGAGCACTTAAAACAACAATTTACATAGTAGAAATTACTTAATACAAACTTAACAAATTCACGCGATCTTTTGGAATTTTAAACGTCAATTAAACAAAACATTAACCAATTAACTAACAACAATCCTTTCACAGTATTTTACCTTGTATTGATGCAGAAAACTTAAATTTCTTAATAATTGATAAAAATATAGAACAGAAATGTAAATAATCAAAACGTTTAAAAACAGCATAAGCAGGCAGTGAAACCTTCATTAGAAGGGTGAAAAATTGTATTATTACAGTACGTTAATATAGAAAGAACTGGTAACTTACCAAATCTCAGTCACATCGGAAAGTTGTGCGATTCGTGATACCAACACGTCTGAAAATGCCCGACAAAAGAATGGCTAACAATACGGTGAAAACATAAATTACACAACAAGAGAAATGCGTGCTTATGCTACAAACTGGGACCGCCAAAATAAAACTATATTTACAACGAATCAAACGACAACGCGATAGGCCTCTACGTAAAACTATCCTAGACTTATATACAGACCGGGTCGTATCGTCCGGATACCGCGTACAAAACTCGTATTTACACGATTGGCACAGGAGAACATCACTGTCTAGCAGCACATCACAAGTCGAAGTGCGTCGTACGATCGTCTCTGTGGTAGCGACAGTCGTACAGCGGCTGGTCCGTGCCCTACATGTGCGTTAGAGGCATGGTGGAGGTGCCCAGAGGGTCGGGGGATCCGGAGTGCGGGTGGTACTGGGGATGCATGGGTTGTAGCCTCTGCTGGTCCACGGTAGGGTCCGGCAGGTACATGGAGATCATCTGTCGCAGGTCCCCGGAGTTGGCGGTCGTCGTGGTGGTGTACTCCCGCTTGATGGTATTCACGGGTGTCGGAGTATGTAGTCCTCCCGACGACGGTGACACAGGCTCAGACTTGATGCTGGACCCACTGGGGCTGTGAGACCCCGTCTGCTGCATGCTGTGGTACGGTGAGCCGGCTCCTGTAGGTACTGATCCCGCCGTGCTGCCGTACATGCCGTAGCTGGCGCCGTTCATGTAGTTGAGGGAGGCAGAGTTGGGGTGCATCTGGCTCATGTCGTACCTGGGGTATCCACCGGCCATGTGACTGCTGTACGAGTGTTGCTGGTAGGCTGACGGGTCGTGCATCATGTAGCCGTTGGGCATGTATCCGTTGGTCATCTGCTGGTAGACGTCTCTGCCCACTACTTGCTGGCCGCCCACTCCTCCACCGGGGTTTCTCGACAGATCTTGTGAGTTAGGCATCAGTCCTCCGGTAGCTAGGGGGTATTTGTCCTTCTTTAACAGCGTCTTCGTTTTCCTCCTGGGTCGGTACTTGTAGTCCGGGTGTTCCTTCATGTGCACGGCACGCAGTCTTTTAGCCTCGTCGATGAACGGCCTCTTCTCGCTCTCACTCAGTAGCTTCCACTCGGCACCCAGTCTCTTGGATATCTCGGAGTTGTGCATCTTGGGATTCTCCTGAGCCATCTTGCGACGCTGACCTCTGGACCACACCATGAACGCGTTCATCGGTCTCTTGACGCGGTCGATGTTCTGGCTCTTGCTGCTGTTGTTGTTGTTGTTGGGCGGCGGAGGCCCGTGGTGGTGCTGTGGTTGCTGGTGTGAAGGCGGTGGCTGGTGGTGCATCTGCTGAGGCGGTTGACTCAGTCCCATCACGTTGCCAGAGAGTGCCTGGCTGTGGACGATGCTGCCCAGGGCACTGTAGGTTGATACGGGGTGTCCGTGGTGATGCGGCGGCATGTGGCCGCCCTTCAGGTCCGCCTCCATCGTCAACATATCCTCTTCCCGGTGCGCGTACAGTTTGAACGATTCGTAACAACACTTCACTGAACTGACACACGCGCTGCGTAGGTCCTCACTACTCGAAAGCTCTCGGACTTGTGACCGGTGGGAATACGAGCGCTACCCCCTCCGCCTCACGACCATGTGGTATTGATTGACGTACACGCCTGCCATGATTCCCCTCGACCAATGAGAGCGCGCGCCTGGCGTGACGTCACTAGGGGCGGGGCCTACGTCGTACACCAGGTGACCCGACGTTCCGCCACTGCTATACTCTATACTGCTACTTGTTGACGCTATGTAAATAACTATCGTATAATGAATGTTGCGTGTCGCGATAGTGGACGCATCTTGCACTTGCACTTCTGAGGGGAAAGAGTATTTGTAGCCTTGGTCCATTGTATGCTAGGTCGGGCCGCCACAAAAGGGACTGCTTCCATTCAACGATAGCATAATACAGTATTGTGCCCTTTAAATTGAGACCTCATCATCACATAAACACAACATCTAGCTAGAATCATTTAGCAACGCAATTCACGCGTACAAAAATTCTTTTAACTCCTACAACGCAAAGTTAATAGATATCGTACAAATTAGTACTTACTACATTGATTTTAGCTGCGATCTGTAACAAAATATTGAACAATTAATTAATTAATTGTGGTTGCCTCAGAATAATAAGAACGATATAACGTTTGTGGCTTAGGTCTATCATTGAGTTTAAAGCAAAAACTAAAACTACAAATAGTAATACTGTACTGCTTACGTAAAATAAAATATAGCTTGTATAATTATTGTAAAAAGATTGTAAATAAGTTAACACTTTGTTCTACTGTACAATAACAACAATTGCAATACTATTACATATTTCACAATAATAGCTACATATTTCGCCGGATATAACAATCTTTTAATGTAAACTACATGGTATTTTTACTTAGTTTATTTGAACCAGCCCAGTAATTTCCCAGGAAGTGGGTAGATATTGGAAACAATATTACAAGGTATTGCTATACACTAAAAATACAATGGAAGGACATTATAAAACCATTTTTAAAAGGTTATAAGATTATAGGCTCTTACTAGTCTTATTTTCGGCCAATCGTTATAATAATTATAGGCAAGTTTTGAAGCTGGCTTCAGTGCCAAGTTAACCCCCCCCCCCTTACACCTCACTATGCGACGTTGCCATTTAGTGCTTTCTTTAAACAAAACTGTTCAATTAATCAACTACTTTGTTGATTGAAAAAAACAGTTTAATTTCTTGACACAGACTTTGTGGCCAAATAACAAACTTATATACATAAAGTACAGGTAGATTGTTTGTTCAGGTATTTTTAATGAGTAATTGTCGTTGAAGTCGATCCTTTCTTGTTATTAAACTAATTATTCATTCCAATGGACGAAACGTGTAAAAATGCAAACATAAAAGATGGCTAGATTGATTAATTGATCCTCAACTATGATTAGGCTAGTATATACGTTATAGCACGTTTTTTTTTATTTCAGTACATTAGCACGATGCGAATCTATCAATCAAAATATTTATTATGTATATACTCATAAGTCAAGAGATGTACAGATTTTATAGGCCTATTGGTTTAAACTGGTATAAACTGTATACTGTATTGGTTAGGTTAAATCTTTCTTCATGTCAAAGATATTCTGTAAATGTTTATTTTTGTTGAATAACAAAATGACTGAACAAGTTATTAAATTATAATATATTTCACCGTCAAACCATTTCATTGTTGTATAACGAGATATTAGTAGTGTGTTTCAATGTTGAATTTTTATATCGATTAACACAATTTTTTAATAACTTCATGCACTATGCCCAGCTTAGATTTGCACACACGCTCAACCAAAGACAAAAATATAAAATCAATTAAAAATAACAAATTCCTTGTTAGTGAACGAGTTATTAGCTAACTGTATTTTCAATGCTAAAACAAGGTATTAGGAATAAGGGTGATTTTTTTTTACCTAACCACAGAATCGTTATTGGGCGAGCCTTAACGTTGCATAATATTTATATTTTCGCTTTAAAATCACCGTACCTAACAATAAAACAATAGGCCAAAAATTTTTCGCAGATTTCAAGTACAAGTAACTAACTTAGATAGGCACACATGCACATAAGTACCAAGAATAAAGTAAATTTCAAAAGGATTAATTCTTACTTGGAGGACAAACAAGAGATTATGGCAATAAACCTAATTCGTTAACAACAAAACGTTGAATTATGGCGAATAAAACAAAAAAAAGAACTGGCCAAATTTCAAGTAGGCCTACCTACTTAGATTGGCACATCTGGACACAAAACTGAGCCATATATATCTACATATAATATTTTAAATTGGTGCAGCCTTTAGGAAGAATCAATAATTAAATAAACACAAGAACAAAACTATGTAATTCAAAATATAAAAAAATTAGGGATATAAGCGTCAATTTTCTCCCAAAGAAAAAATAATATCAAAAATAATAGAATGCTACTACTGTAGTATTTGTTCCTTCGACATAACGTAATATCGTTGTACAAAACGAGCTGGTATCTCGGGACGGGCAAAAACAAGCGATCAGGTGAAGGAAGAAGCGGAGAGGTAAAAAGCGTAATGACGGCCAGGTGCACAGGCACAGAGTAAGAAGCGGCAGAACACGTAATTGTATTCTCTATGGTGTACGTCTGCCATATTGATACGTTGCCTCATTATACCCGGCTTTTCCCGTGTAACTAGTTATAAAGTTGATGTAATGAGTTACTATTCGTCTGCTTATTTACAATGTAATTGGTTGAATGTGTATTTTTAGCGATGGGTTACTGGATTAATTCCAGATGATGCTGTACTAAGCATTTGTTGTACGGTAATAGTAGTTTTCATTACTATGAGCAAAAGAGACTCTTTTTGGTACGCAATTTGATACACAATTGGTGATTTACCAATTTTACCAACGGAAATTCGATTAGGTACCCAAAAGACACTTCCGCTCCTTGTGATGAACAACTATTTTCATCAAACTGTGGAAAACCTTCTAACCGTAACAAAATTAGACTACTTAATTTTAAGTTATACAAAGTCGACATCAATGTTTACATTTCTGTTGTTTACAAACATAACTTTAAATATCGTGCCCTGAAAACATTTTGAGGTTAGCGAACCTAAAATTCACCATATGTTTTTTACACCCATAAAATTCCAATATAACATTATTTTTGAATGCTAAGATAATAAATTATCTTTAGGGTGGAAATGAAGGATATTTTTTTAGGTGAGATTACGAATTCTTGAACAGAACCTCATAAACATAAACGAATTACGTTTTGGCCCGAAAATAAACATTTTTTAACATTGCTTAAACGTAAATGTCTAAACCATGCTAATGCAATTAGTATGGGATTCGGACGAAAAACTTAATTTATTTATGTTTATGATCCATACCGGTTCTGTTCAAGTATTCGTGGGTAAAATGGTACTATATACAAAAACATATTACTGTAATATATAGGTGATTTATGGTTTAAGGTGAAATAATTTAATGTTTTATTTTCCTAATAATTGAATTACGATGATATCCAGTTTCAATAATTGCGGAATAAGTTTACATTTAATAGAACCCCTCGATTTTATAATCTCAAAACTCAAATGTGTAAAGTGTGAAGTATATAGGTACCGGTTTAAAAGGTACGAATTAAACACTGTACAGATTTGAGCTTCTGTTCAGCTTGGTGCGGCGGCGGCGTTGTTGGCTTAGTACAAAAGTATTTACAGTCAGAACGCGTATAATGACTCAACAATGGACTTAACGACCGTGCAATCGCTGGCTTATAACGTATTCTTGAGACTTTATGTTGCATTGCGTATCGTGTAACGTGGGTAACTCCATGACCTTGATCGTGTATATGGTCCATGATATGGCCTAGGTCATATACGGTTCAGTATAACCGGCATTATGTATATAGTTGAACATGTAAACATAATAATGTTGTTTGTATACCGGACGGGATCCACGCAGGACCTTTTTTGGTACTGAAGTAAATACGCCAGAGTCACATTGGTGAAAATCTTAAACTATCGATTAATTTTTGAACCGTTTTGAGTTTGACCAATTTGAACGCGTATAACGAGGGTCTACCTATTTAGAAGTTTAGTATGCATATTTGGATACAGTAATTTGCTGTAATTTTAGTTACGAATTCATATATGGTTGTTTTAACAATTTTAGTAGTAGTACTCCGTTACTGACCTGGAGATGGGTCCGTTGATGTACTAGTGCATTGAGGACATACGACTACAGTATAATTGTAATGTAGACTAACTAGGTTTTACAACAAATAAAATTACAGTTTAATATTTAATAAATAATTAATACCTAAGTTTAATCTTTAATAATTAACAAGTTTAACCTTGAAAACCTTACAAGTAGTATTAGGTCCGACCATGATAATTGTGGACCAATAATTGAGTTTATTCTTTTTCTATGTCGTCAAGGTATTCTTTTTCACAAAAATATTTGAACTGTAGGGCCTGGTAATACTATACGCTCACTCGTACATACGGGTCAACAATCATTGCACACAGCAAACTCTGGACATTTCTCTCTTCAAGGGTCTGAGCCGGTCTGAGCCGAGCTACCGTCCGCTAGTAGTGCCCGGGGCTATACTTGCGTGTCAGACCTTCTAATTGAATTAAACAGCTCGACACGCGAACCCCCAAATGACGGCACCTTTGTGGCCACGCTACCGCAACCTTACTGATTACTGATTAGACGTTGCTCTCAGGTGCGAATGGTAATCACTACTGCAGTTTGGCAAAATACGGTTAACAGCTCCATTTGTATAAACATGCTTCATAAGTAGTGTTAAGCGTGTGGTACCACTTACCAACCTTACGTAGTTCCGAGTATCTGTAGCATAATGCACCGTGTGAAGAATACAATATTATGTAATGTAAATAAATCACAGAGAATTACAGAAACATCGTCCATGCCTGGCGATTGGTGTGACTCACAACTAAGTGCCAACCCCTCAGACAAATGAATAATCTGAGTCATGTTGTTTAGATTTATCTAGAGTTATTTATCATAGAAAA